CTTTACATTGTACCATAGTGTCCAATTCCAATGTACCTTCCTATAATGATTTCGTGCTATGCACACTTTGATGGGGTTGTCAGTAATAACTGAGTGAAAACTCACCACAGTTCTTCTCATCACTGTTGTCTCCACAGTCATCTCTGCCGTCACATCGACCAAACGGGTGGAACAGGGCGCCATTGTCACAGACAGAAAGGGCTGCAGGTTATAAAATCAGTTATAAAATCGTCTACCCAACTGCAGGTGTTTGTGTGCCATTGGGGGTACACATGATACACATGACGCGCGCACTGCTTGAAAAGTTGGATTTACCAATGGTAGTAAATGCCAGTTAACCCTATCTAGACCGGGGGGAGGGCTAAAAGTGCCCGCGCCAACTTTGATGTCACATAGCGCCTGAACGGCTAGAGCTAGAACCGCCAAACTTGGTGACTTTTCCTAAAATATTGTTGGCAACAAATTTGTATCAGTGGAATTTGATTATGATTTTCCTTGTTGCCATGGCAACGGCTTTCTGACAGGCATTTTTTGCAAAATTTAATAATTTCCGTTTCAACAACAGAATTTTATGGGTTTTATGTAAAGTTACACATGGTTTTTAATATTAATAACATCTCATATAATTATATGTAAATTTTATCATTAAAATGCATAATTTATGCTAATTTGATGACGTAATTGGCCAACATCCAAGATGGCGGACCATATCATTAGATCAGGTAAATACAGCTTATTTTCCTTAAAATTTCATCAATACTCCCATTTCTTTTTACAAAAAAGGTTCATATGAACGTCTTTAGTCTGTTTACAATGTATTTTAGGCTTTATCCTGAAAAAAAACTATTTTTCAAAATTCAAAATTGATGATCCAAGATGGCGGATAGGTAATATATGCATGACGTCATTTTATGACGTCACTGGTGTTGCTATGGGCAACATAAGACTTAGTACACCCCAATATTCTGTCATAAACCCTTTTAATAAAGTTATGTCGTATACCGTTTAGTTTTCAGGGAATAACCTATCTAGACGGTTTTTGCCAATAAAATCACATTAATGACGTCATAATGACGTCATATTACGTCACAACGACATAAAAATTGTACGTGTGATAAATTTTTAGTAGTACACCATCCTCTAAAAATTTGGTGGTCCTACGATATACCGATCGCGAGTTCTGAGGGGGGGGGGGCGAATGAGCCCCCCCTGGTCCCACCAAGCCCCAAAAAGCCCGGTCTAGATAGGGTTAAGTCAGGTAATGTTTACTTTGTAAGCTTTACCTGACCAAAAATACCATAGACACAAGCGGGAAAATGCTCACGACATGATAGCTCGTCACTGCCATCCGCACAGGACCTTACGCCGTCACAAACAGGGTCTTTGGCGTTCTGAATACTCCACTCAAGGCATCGTCCATTGCTGCAGCTTCTGTGGCCTTTTCTCTCACCTGCGTTGAACATTGAGGCATCACGTTTAAACATCTAACTACAATATGCCACTGAGCCGTATTGAGAGACTTAGACAGTACTTATTTATCCCTAGAACTTTAAAAATCACACAGGAGTAACGGTTGTAGATAAGGACACTATGGACTTTCGAAAAAAATCAATACCTCTGCAGAATATTTTTATTTTAATTAGTCTTGCTTCTTGTTTGAATGTTTATTTGTACCATTATCGGATATTATGAGTAACCGTCAATATTTCAATGCTAAATGATTCACGATACATGGAAGTACATGCAAGTGTAGGCAGACCATGCACAACCTACATACACCAACTGTGTGAGGATACTGTACTCTGGAAGACCTGTTTTGGTGCTATGGAACATGGGGGGGGGGCTAAAGGGAAAGGGTCATTAACATCCGCGAGACTCTAAGACTAAGGCCAGATGATGATAATCTATGTTCCTTGTATCCACATACAAGGGAGATCGATGAAGTATTTACATTCAAAGTCATCAGATACATTGGAAAGTAGCAATTACTTGTTTTAACCCTATCTAGACCGGGCTTTTTTGAGCATGGTGGACCGGGGGGGGGGCTCTTTTGACCCCCCCTCAGAACTCGCGAACGGTATGTCGTATGACCACCAAATTTTCAGAGGATGATGTAATTGTAAAAATTTATCATATCTGCAATTTTTTTTGTCGTTATGACGTAATATGACGTGATTATGACGTCATTAATGTGATTTTATTGGCCAAAACCGTCTAGATAGGTTATTCCCTAAAAACTAAATAGTTTACAACATAACTTACCAAAAGTGTCTATGACATAATATTAGGGTGTACTAAGTCTTGTTGCCCATAGCAATACCGGTGACGTCATAAAATGACGTCATACATATTTAAGATGTCCGCCATTTTGGATCATAAATCTTGAATTTTCAAAAATAGTTTTTTTTTCAGGATAAAGCCTAAAATACATTGTAAACATACAAGTATTAATTAAATTTTAAGGAAAATAACCTGTATATACCTGTTATAATGGCATGGTCCGCCATCTTGGATTTGGGCCAATGACGTCATCAAATTAGCATAAATTATGCATCTTTAATTATAAAATTTACATAAAATTATCTGGGATGTTATTAATATTAGAAACCATGAGTAACTTGACATAAAACCCATACGATTCTATTGTTGAAACTAAAATTACTACATTTAGCAAAAAATGCCTGTCAGAAACCCGTTGCCATGGCAACACAAAACATTATTATCTAATTCCAATGATTGAGTATTGTTGCCAACAATATTTTAGGAAAAGTCACCAAGTTTGGTCGTTCTAGCACTAGCCGTTCAGACGCTAGGTGACATCAAAGTTGGCGCGGGCACTTTTAGCCCCCCCCCCCCCGGTCTAGATAGGGTTAAGTTAGGTCAGAAAATAGCGAATAGTGTTCACATATTGTTTTCTGGTTAAAATGGAACCGAGGGCACTTAAAGTCCAGTTTAAAAAATTTGTATAATCATATTAAGGTGGCAAGGTGAATTTAAAGGTTCTGGGTTCGAATCCCTAGTAAGTGTTTGAAACGTGATGAAACGTTGCTCTCTGCCTTTCTACTTACAGCAGCTTTGTTCGTCCGTATTGCCTCCACAGTCGTCTCTACCGTCACATACTTGGGTCAGGTCAATGATGGTTCCATTGGCACAAATCCCTAGGTTTGATTGAAGTAAGGAAAATTGTTTGTTAGAAGTAATCTTCGTAATTAAATCCTGCAGTACAGTTTGATTTGTCTTTGAAAATTGTTAACCTGGAAGTCTAACCTTCGTCAACTTTTCAAGAATCTAGTTTACGGTAAAGTTATCAGTACCTCATCATAACATAACGTTAAAGAGACGTTATATACCCCTTCCATCCTGTAGATTTACATGTGTTCTTGTTACGTACCAGTGTTCCTGTAGTCAACACACGCCAGACAATCACAGTGGGCCGCAGTGTTGCCGCACCAGTTGTCCGGGGAGCAGCATGGGAAATTACTGCCAGGGTCGCATTCGCTAATTTCGATATCTTCAGTCTTGTAGCCCCGTCCGCAACGCAAATCTTCACGCCACTTCTTAGGAGCTATTACTATGAGGTCATTAAGTCATTAAAGGTTTCGCTCTATCAGTCACTTTTCATACGTACACAAAAATTGTCTAATCTAATTCTGTATATGGCATCATTTACGTGTCAATTTTCTGTCTTAAAAGGGTACATGGAATAAACATTGCGGTGTCTACTATGTTGCAAATAGAGCATGAAATTCCGAGAGAGAAGCAATAACAAAGTTCAGAGTATGCACAAATCTGATATTCATGGATCAACTAGAGGTCAAAGATATCACACTTTCGTAAATAGCTATTTCGCCGAAAGCTTTACCAGGTACCCATTGCCCAAACACCTACGTCCCACTCAAAAATCAATGTTCAAAATACGAGATATCATACCCTTGCACATCGCTACAGTACCGTACAAAGCAGCCATCCTCCGTTGTCCCAACCCAACCCAACTTGCCTGCCAAATATCATATAGATACATGCACCACACCCCATGATGTAACCGTTAAAGAATTCACAAAGCCTTATAAATGGTGTACCTAACACTCATAACCTTCTCGGCGAAGCTGCTAAATAACTTGAACGCCTCACCACAGACTGGCACTTCGCACAGCTCGAATCGCACTGACGGATCCTCGGTGAAGCACCAGACTCCCGGTTCACCATCCGGATTCCGGCAGTAGTTCTCCTCCAGTTCGGATGACGGGTGTTCAAACAGCTTGCTGTGTACATGTGGAAACAGCCTGTCCCAGCGTTGACACGTCTTGCCTGTCCTGGTCACAGAGACGGTTCCTCGGTAGGATGCCCCATCCCCCACCTGGCAGGGTTCTGGTAGATGAAAAATGCAGCTTTCCATCAGAAATATTGGACACATTTTCTATTGTCCAACTCCTGCTTTCAATGAATGAGCAATTCACAAACTGAATGTAACACCAATTCAAATGACCTACCAAATTCACAGATGAAACCAGCGTCTATCTTACAGCCCACGTCGTTCCACTTATTTCTGTTGTTGGAGGAGAGGTCGCCCGAGTTGCCGGGTAAGTACGTCGCACATCGCTCCTTTCCTCCGCTCGGTTGTCCATCGGCCCAGTTTTCCCATTCCATCGGCTGGGAACCGCGTGCGTATGTCCATGTTTCGTCATCAGAACGGGTCATCCCGAAGTAGAAAACCTTCGTCGTGTCCGCGGCGTTCTTTAAAGCGACCAGGAAGTCGTTGGTGGCGCTGTCACCAGGCATGGCCAGAGTGCTCCCTTCTTCTCGGCAGGTCGCCAAAGCCTGGTCGTACTCACTCTCGGTGTCGTAGGCACGGTAACATCGGCGTGTGTGGGGGAGGTGCCAGTAGCCATTGGAACACTCTCCAACTGTGGTCAACATGTGAGGACAAAATCTCTTTCGGGTTAGGTATGGAAGTACTTGTATTACCCTTATTATTGCCATCCCATGCCAAATTAAAGGTCATTCTGCTGGAACATGGCAGAGTTGAATCCCTTTTATGACAGGAGGAGAGAAACATGAGGGAAAACAATATATTTCTCCCATACTATAGTAGGAGGGAAACTAATAAAGTACAGAAAACAAACTAATTAAGTATGACAAATGATGTAAATGATATCGATAAGGGAACGGAATTCGCATATCAATGTTTTATGAACAAAATTTGAAATTAACAATAATTGACACACCAATAACAATATTCAGTACCTGTAATAACCTGAACTTCGCACAGTGTCAGGATTCGGGAGGGGCCGGTCAGACGAAACCCCACATATCTTCCTGCCATCCACCGACACTGGATGGAAACGGTCGGCTTCGTCACGAGGATCTGATGATCACCTCCACACCTGGGGTTCTCGCTGACCTGGTCGGAATCCCCGATGTGGATGTTGAAGGGGTTGAGTCGTTCCGAACAACAATCCATGCGGTTGAAGATGACCACTCTGTAGATATTGTCGAAGCAATTGCAATTATGTACACTTCAGGATGAAAGTTGTAAGACACCATGCATGCAAAACATGGTAACGTGTACTTTAAATCTTGAATCTCTCCTATGTCAGTTCTTCTTTGACTCACTGGTTTAAAGGTATCGATTCAAAATGGAAGGACGTCGTTGCCGGCCATGCCCCTACATGTCAATCATCACACCATTTCTAGTCAACCGTTTCCTGTACTGTTTAATTATTACTGTTGTTTTAGCATGTTGTCTTTCGTTTTGCTAAATACGCTCATCTCTTGTCCATACGTACCTGTCAATCATATACGATCGGCCGAGATCCACCCACCAGCTAGGATCAGTCTCCTCCTGTGTGTGTGTACAGGTGGCAGTGCCGTAGTTCATGTAGATATTGGTGATCCCGTCTACAGCAAGGCTGGCAACCCCAGGTCCATGCATCCCGTTAAGGGTGCTAGTCTGGAACGCCGTCTTCCCCAGAGCGACATTAAAATCTACCGCGAACGAAGGATATTGTCAATAGATTGACGTATTTCCATCTGTACATCAGAGTTCTATGGTTAAACGCATTCGATACAATATAAGGGCAGCAAAACTGGAATAAGGCAATCTGCATGATATTGATACATACTATCCCACATAAGTACATTTCCATCAATTTTTCATACTTTGGGCATTTAAAACAGGGCAAAAAAAGCGCTGAGTCTTTTGGTACCCCGAAAATCGGAACAAGATTCCTACTATACCAGTAACCGTTTTTAGTCACAATTTTGGCATTTTTGCTCCATGAATGTCAATATATTACATTGGGATAGTGTTGTCTCAACGTGGTATGTAGATAAATGACTAAAGTATTGGCTTTCTAAAATCTGTTTTTCAAGCCCTAAAAACTAGCCCTGGGCACCGGTTTTAACAAAGTTCTGTACGGAGAGCCATGAACTGTTCACCCAACGTAACGACTCGGCAATCCTTCTGCTGCCTTACTGCCTTACAGGAGTACCTGTCGTTGTCTCGTGACCGAGATTACTACTTTACCTAGCTAAAAAGACAAAACAAATAAGTACATGGGAGACAGCCAAACGATTACGCAATAAATGTAATAACATGGCAAAGTATCTGAAAAAAATGTATTATCAGAATGAAATCAAATCTAAGAGTAACGACAGAAAGGGCCTTTGGTCAACATTAAAAACGCTCTTACCAGGTAAAACCAAACACGCTGTTCACGTCCCTAAACAGAATGAAAACAATGTTGCAAACGAGTTTAACTCATACTTTACTTCCATTGGAGCAAAACTAGCCGCGGCCTTCTCTCGTGTGTATATGGCAACCATAGGACCACCTAAGTCCATTTTTAACTTTACTGACATACCAACTGCATTTACACACAAACACTTGCTGAACTTACCTCTTGGCAAGAGTACTGGGGTGGATGGAGTAAGTAGCAGGCTAATCCGCCATGCTGCACCAGCAATATCTGCACCACTAACTTACATATACAATCTGTCACTCTCAACAGGAACGGTACCCGCTGGCTGGAAAAAGGCCAAGGTCAAACCGATATACAAAGATGGGGACAAAATGACTGCAGTAACTACCGGCCAATATCAGTCATTCCATCTTTCATGAAGATCTTAGAAAAAGCAATACATGCTCAAGTCTATAACCTCCTTACTGAACATAACATCTTGAACACTTCACAATCAGGTTTCAGACCGAAACATTCTACCACAACAACATTGATCAATGTAACAGACACGATCCTAGACAATATGGACAAAGGGCTTTTGACAGGTGCAGTATTTTTGGACCTGAAAAAGGCCTTTGATACTGTGTCCCATGAAATCCTGCTTGACAAACTACGAATGAATGGCATCCAAGACAACGAATTGTTGTGGTTTCAGTCATAGTACCCATTCTACCGCCTAAGGCACTTTCTATGCTGTTTAACTGTATGGTTCTCCCAAAGATTGAGTACTGTGACACTGTATGGGCCAACTGTGGGAAATCTCTCTCTGACAATCTCCAGAAACTCCAAAACCGTGCAGCACGGATTGTCCTCGGTCTGTCCCGAATATCACATGTAAATAACGAGCAGCTGTCTGCACTAGGTTGGATTTCCCTGACATCCCGCCGGCAAATGCACCTTCTGCAAACCGTCTTTAAGTCAATCCATCAGCACTACGGGTACCAGCGTACTTACAAGTATTTGACAGAACTTCTCACATCTATGCAACAAGGCAAAATTCATATTTATCATTTCAACTACCCAAAGTTAAACTGGAATCTGGCCGTAGAAAATTTGCATACAGGGGTGCATTTGCATGGAATGAGTTGCCTGGTACAGTTAGAGTGGTCACATCTGGCCACTCTTTCAAGAAGCTGATAAAAGATCATTGCTGACCTCTGACCTCTCGACCCAGCCTGTTCCATCGATTTTGATGCTCGGTTGTGTATATATATATGTTACTTTTGGTTATTTTGTTTTACTGTTGTTGGTGTCTATGTCTATCTGTACAGGGCACGCCTGTAAAGCAGTATATTGTACTGAGTGTGTCTACCCTGTATAAAGAAGACAGAAATAAATAAATAAATAAACTCCTGGCAATATTGGCAAGTTCTACTTCCCACCGCAAGGTGGTGCTTGTAGGTAAACATCTCACGGTTGAGTGTAAAGGGGCGATCGAATTGCCCAGCCTGATGAAACTATTCATGGATAACTGGGGTATGCTGATCTAGATATTCTATAGCTGGGCCAGCTCATTATTCTAATGCCTAATTCGTAAATTCTGGAAGTGAACAGCCAGGGTGAGAGGTCCTGACATCATCTGCAGCTCACGGCGCAAGTAAAGTATCTTTTTGTCAGTGTCAGTCGACGGTGCCGTGCGAGAAACAACAACAAAGTATGTTGGAATGAGAGTACATAGATAATTCATGGATGGAGCAGCACCAATACATTCTTACATACTAGAATCACACCGCCCTGTTTTTCTCGGACTATTGCAGACTAATTAGCTGACGTCACAGTTGAGTTGGGCAACACTAGGCCCAGAATGATCCAGAATGGAATCACCCTTGTAGTGCCTACTTAACAGGCTTCATACGTTTTTCTTTAGCACAAAGTACAAGGACAGACTCGAGTGGTACGGTCTGGTACTCAGTGCGGATGGGTATAAGCAGGTAAAAAGCAGGTTTTGTTTAGAGCTTCCAGTTGTTCAAGTTAGAAGTGGACAAGCCCCCGTTTCTTTAGTTATCAACCAGAAAATGCTGGCATGAAGCAATGTACAACTAGAAAGGCCAATATTTGCTTTGGAGCAAATACAGCGATGGGTTCACCACATTATACGACATGGCAGGGAAAGAATGAGAAACACAAGGGAAAACAATGATTTACATTGATATAACTATAATATGAAGTAACATACAACTAAAACAACAGTTGGATAGCTATTCCCTACTTTATTGGTTAGGATTTTTAATTGCATAATGCAAACTGTTGATTTTCAAAATAAATAAAAAAACGTTCATGCCCCGCATTCCAATGCTGGAGCAGAAAAGCTTGAAATACCAAAACACTTGAATAAAGACATACTGTCAGTATGGAAATGCTCTGTGCAGGTGTTAATCAAGTTAAATCCCAACAGCCAATCAGCAAGAAATGCTCTGTGCAGGTGGAAATGCTCTGTGCAGGTGTTAATCAAGTTAAATCCCAACAGCCAATCAGCAAGAAGTATAGAGGAAAGCTGCATGCCTATTGGTTGATGCCCTGCATTCCATTGTGATGACTCATGGTAAACACGGCACACTAACACAGTAATACATTTGATATAACACAGCCAAAAAACTCAAATAAAACCATTCTAAAAGCCTGTATCACAAAAATTTAAAAACGACTAGGGGTATTTGCCCACTGTACCTCCATACCAAATTTCAGGACCTTAGGCCCTAAAATGAAGAAGCTGAATCCATTTAAAAAATGGCAGGAGAAGAAGGAGGAGAAGGAGGAGGAGAAGAAACATCAGAAAAAGCAATATGGGTTCACCACCACTTCGTGGTGTGGTGAACCCATAAATAGACGACGTCTAAATAAACGGAACGCTCTAATTCAACGTAGAGCGTAATTTGCGCATTTTGCGTAGAGCGTATTCGCCGTTTTAATCCTACGTAGAGCGTAGAGCGTTGTCGCGAACCCACCCCCCCCCCATGCAGGCCCCCAAATATGAAACTTGCAAACTATCATCGCAATAATAGTGTTTCGAGTATGAGTGGTTCACAGTTTTTTCAAGTTCTACAAAACACAAGCGTAAACTGAGTGAAGATATCACTATATTGTGTGTTGATGCTTATGAGTTAACGGTCGTGGATAAATAGCTAGTTACACACCTATTGTCGCAAAAGCACCAGACAGGCAGCAGCACAGACCCCACACCAGCGCCAGTGATGTTCCAGTGGTCGACGGGTTCCCCATTCTGCCGCGAGACGACTAACTCGTGCTGTACCAGTTCATTTTAGAAAACTACTGTTGAATAGTTCTGGTGCACGATCTTGACGCAACCGTAATGTACGGAAGGTCTACCAGCAACTAGTATTAAAAAGTGGTGCGTGTGGTATTTCATGTGCGTCACGAACTCCTACGTCACAGGGTTACCATGGTAACCACACCAAATAAGGGTAACACCTCAGGTAAAAGTTGTGTGAGGGAGAGGAGTCATCGAATATTCATTTCATTAGTGTCCCCCGTCTGGTATTTTCTGACGTGTTGCTTTGTGAATTATTCAATGACAGGAGTTCTGTGCCTGCCTGTACCCGTACCGGAATGTCAGCGCGTACAGTAAACTACGCATTCTGTGCGTCCATTAAAAATAAGAGTCCAAATGACTCGTTTTCCTGTATTATAAACGGTTCTTCGGTTGAGGAGAGCTAGCATATTGTTTTTCTGATAGATACTAGGGACATGCAGATTCAGCCAAGCACAGCAGGTTGCCCCTACTGTTCTCCGTAAGTTTAGATACATCTACGTAACGTAGAGAGGATGGCCTGCAAGGGGGGGGGTCCCGACAACGCTCTACGCTGAATTCGGAAACCTCTCGATTACGCTTTACGATGAATTCCAAGTGGCTACAACGCATTACGTAGAATTAAAACGCCGAATACGCTCTACGCAAAAATATCAGAGCGGTCAGTCTACGCTCTACGCAGAATTGAAACGGCCGATTACGCTCTACGGAAAAGGGCTTGCGGGCCCCCATAAATAGCTGGTTACACACCTGTTGTCGCAAAAGCACCAGACAGGCAGCAGCACAGACCCCACACCAGCGCCAGTGCTGTTCCAGTGGTCGACGAGTTCCCCATTCTAACGCGAGATGACTAAAACTCGTGCTGTACCAGTTCTTTTTAGTGAACTACTGTTGAATAGTTCTGGTGCACGATATTGACGTGACATGTACGGACAGATTCTACCAGCAACTAGTATACTGTGGTGCGTGTGGTATTTCATGTGCGTCACGAACTCCTACGTCACAGGGTTACTATGGTAGCCACTTCCAAATAAGGTAAAAGTTGCGTGAGTGAGAAAGTAATCGAATATTCATTTCATTAGTGTCCTCCATCTGGTATTTTCTGACGTGTTGCTTTGTGAATTATTCAATGACAGGAGTTCTGTGCCTGCCTGTGCCCGTACCGGAATGTCAGCGCGTACAGTAAACAGCACAGTCGGTGTGTCCATTAAAAATATGAGTCCAGATGAGTCATTTTCTTGTATTATAAACGGTTCTTCGATTGAGGAGAGCTAGCATATTGTTTTTCTGATAGATACTAGGGACATGCAGATTCACAAGTCTTACGTTTTTCAGCCAAGCACAGCAGGTTGGAATGGAAGGTCCTCCATACCCGGGGTCACTCAGCTGACTTTACATGCACGTCATCATACAAAATGACGAATGCGCTTCACCGTCTTAAGGGTCCAAGATGGAGATTGAACCCCTCTCTCTAAATCCACCGAATCGAAATTGATCAAAATGGAAAAGCAGTGGGGTTGTGTAGTCTCCAACAGACTTCTTTTGCAGGCTGAATGAATCGTAGAAATCGGCCTAAAAGGGTAGAGATCAGGCCAATTTGATTGTCGATGGCCGGCTAACCTTCTCTCGCCAATTAATACTCTTTTTAGACCTATTTCTACGATTTATTCAGCCTGCAAAAGAAGTCTGGTGGAGACTACATTTTGAGAGGCAAAGTGACGACGGCTACTTGAGGTTTGACTTCTAGCTAGTACGCAGGTCTACGCGTAACAAAGAATTATTCAGTAACACTTAACGTTGAATTTATGATGACAAATAACGCGCTACGTAGAATTACAACAACCAATAACGCTTCACGAGGAATATATTCAATTATCAGAGGCGGCGGCAGTAAATTTCGATGGGGGGGGGGTCAAGATGTAGGGCGCCGAAGGCGGCTAGGGGTGTCCGGGGGCATGCCCCTCCCCCCGGGAAATTTTGAACGCTATTTCCAGCATTTTGAGACCTAAATTTTTGTTTTATTTCAAGCTAAGTTTAATGCTCCTTCTAGAGTTTCGTCTATGAATTTTTCCATATGAAACAGTTTCCATATGAAACTGCGTCAGCCTTGAGACACCAAGGGGTGCTAACATCTGACCCCAAGGAAAAGGCTGATGCGTTGGGGGCCCAGTTTGAGTCGGTGTTCACCAGGGAGGATAAGTCCATCGTTCCTACCCTTGGCGAACCCACAGCTCCAACAATCCCTCCCATTAACATCTCAGTGGAGGGAGTAGCCAAACAACTCTCTTGTCTTTACCCTAACAAATCCACAGGACCAGACGGAATACCACCCCGCCTCCTGAAGACTGTAGCCGTGCAAATTGCGCCTATATTACAGGTAATATTCTCCCAGTCAATATCTACGGGAGATGTTCCTGAAGATTGGAGAACAGCTAACATCACTCCAATCTTCAAAAAGGGTGACAGAACGGCGCCATCTAACTATAGGCCGGTGTCCTTGACGTCGGTCTGTGGCAAAGTGCTCGAACATATCGTGCACAGCCACATGATGAAACATCTGGACACCTATGGCATTCTGTCCCCGGCGCAGCACGGTTTCAGGAAGGGTCTGTCCTGTGAGAGCCAGCTGTTGCTCACTGTCCAAGACTTGGCCAAGAGCATCGACCAGAACCAACAGGTCGACGCCGCGGTGCTTGACTTCAGCAAAGCCTTCGACACTGTCCCCCACGAACGCTTGCTGTGTAAGCTCGAGCACTACGGCATCTCCGGCTCTCTTCTGTCTTGGCTTAGGGCCTTCCTTACGGAGAGAACCCAGATGTGTGGTCTTTGACGGGGGAACATCTAAAACCGTCAAGGTCACCTCTGGTGTTCCGCAGGGTACAGTGCTAGGCCCGCTGCTCTTCCTACTGTATATCAATGACCTACCACAATCTGTCAGTTCACACGTTCGACTATTCGCCGACGACTGCCTGATCTACCG